AGTTCGAAGACAATTGCGTTAACTGAAAACCCAAGTTCGAAGTGTGTGTGTTTGTCTAGGCTTTGTGGTTGTTTGTGTGTGTGATTGTTGCGTCTGTGTGTCATGTATGTGGGCGAGCCCTCTTAATCTATATATATATATTATAGCTATATATATGACTCCTTTTGCCAAGAAATGCACATCTTTTGAGGCCCATGTCCTCCTGCCTTATGTTTACTCTTGCTATATAATTAGTCAATATATGTGTGTCAAAATTGCATGATCAAAGGCTGAACAACCACTCCAAGTGGATCTGGATTTGCTATTCGAGGTCAGGACCCTGCGGATTGTGAAAGATTTTGGGCAGTTGGTAGTTACAGGCTTTGATGACCCATACCCCAAATGCTGAAAAAAGACCATCCAAACTCGTCCAATAATGTGACATCCTCAGCCCTTTGAGCTTCGGCAGCAGTGTGTAGCATCTGGATCATCTGGTTTGTTTCAAAGTAGCAACAGTCAGCAATAAATTGAACACCTAATATATAATGAATAGTGGATGGAGAGTACATGTCATCATCCACAAGTTTGGTGGTTCCCCTTCTCTAAAAGAGCAATTATTCTCCTGTCATGCCACCGATCCGCGGTTGTCGCACGGCACCCAAAGATCCACGTCCACTCTCGGGCTACACTTGGGTCCGGTCGTTCGCTACATGGTGGACCCAGGCCCTCAGGCTCCAGGTTTTGACCCATCCCCATATAATATATATATATAATATACACACCATTGGCCACTCCGGTCAAAACCCAATTATATATATAATGTATCACAATGTATGTGGCAAAGGCAATGCAAATGCTGGCTGACTTTCACGTCAACCATCTGAATGATGCTTTCTCAATAACGTCACCCCTCTCACAAAGATCGCCACAAATCCCTGAAACCGCTACCAAACGAATGCCACAAAATCGCCACCAAATCGCCGCGAAACGACTCGGCCTGAGTGGCCATAAGCCAGGCTGGCTGGAATGGTGAGAAGCGCTTTCTCGCCCAACGTCATCCTCTGGCTTTCGGCGGCGCCGAAAGAAGGCGCGACGAAGGCGCCGAAAGCAGGCCGGCGGTGGATCCAAGATGATCCAAGTAGCTCCATTTCAAAGGTGTGACTGGACCCTCCAGGCCTACATCAACAGTGTATATCCAATCATCCTCTCAAATGATATGTGAATCATTGTGGATCCATAGGGGAACCATGGAAAAACCAGGAGAGCATCAACGTGGGTAGAGTTCTACGTGGGAATACCATTTCGGCATCCATGCGCAAATCGGAAGCGGATGGGAAGTCTCTGCGGCCTACCAGGTGCATCTGCAGTCCCAGCCACCCCGCTCCCATGTCTTTTGGAAAATGAGGTAAACAACCACAAGCTGCTGCGGCTGTTCCATGAGAAAATGGACAAACCCAAAGCATTAATTTATTGCTCACACGAGCACACGAGACAAAGACTCAAGAGATTCAAGAATAGCAAGTGAGGGGATTCCAAATCACTCCAACCGATCCAACCCCATTCATTTCATCCCCCCTGCTCCCTTGATGTCCCTCCATCCACACAGCCCTGCCAGTCCCTGCCTCTGCAGCCCTTCATCCCAACCCGGGATGACCTGCTGCACGCCCAGCTGGAACCTGTCGCGGCACCGAACTGACGAACAGCGCTGTAGAACATCTTTTCTACACTGGGCTTGACAGTGAAGCACATTGAAAGACAATAACACAAGTCTCAAAAACAAACACACGAGTCGCTTGCGCAAGGCGCAACAGTTACCCAGCAAAACCAAACACTTTTTTGTAGTATATACAAATGCATACAGTAAGACTGGCCATGTATCACCAGTCTCTAGATGTCTCCAAGGGATCCCCTTCCAAAGTCTAGAAGTTGTCAAGGACGCGCGGTTGCCGGCCTGAAGGGGAGCCTCCGTTGGTAGGACGAGTCGATCTCTTGCCCCGTCGCCGCCAGCCGTCCTTGGTTCAACATCTTTGGGCGTGCAGCGGGTAGGGCGTGGAGGACGAAAGTGGTAATTACACGAAAAAAGGGTGTGCATGACATATATACACGGGATAAATAGCTAGGATACCTTGCGTCGCCAGGTGTTGCAGTATGCGAAGGGCCATGATACAGTCTTTCAGGCGGACAGCCGCACGACGTCTCCAGCCGCGGAGATGGAGACGGGGCGCCCTGAGGCACCACACCGACGTAGTGGGTCACCAGCTTGTCCCCGGGCTTTGGATACGTCACGCCTGCCGATGATAAAATCGTGCACGTGGTGGGAAACACCACGAGATCAAAGCTGTTGGCTTTCTGCTGAAGTGTTTGATGGGATGCTTAGGAGGCCCATAGCTGGGGGAGTCATAGGAGGTCATGAGGTCATAATTAGGAGGTTCACACATGGCAGGGTTCACAAGCTCGAGGTCATAGGAGATCCATAATTAGTTGGGGAGAGTGACACCATTTGACGCTAATGACATAAGACTTGTTTTGTTTATATAGTCATATATAGTCATCTTTACTCGCAGAATTCAACATCCCGACCCTCCAACAACTAGCCTTCGGAACTCCTATCAGGTCGTTTCTTCAGATCGTTCTGTTTGTTCAGAAAAGCTCGCAAACACTTAAGTTGCTGGAGGGCTGCTAGTCATGAACCTTGAAGGGCCAGTCCAGTAAGTACTGCTTGGTTCAGCAAAGGCCACATCAGTTGAACATCATTCGAAGGACAGGGGTCCCTCTCAGCTGTGTGGATAAAGAATTTAATTAATATATTAATAATACTTAATATATTATATAATACAATACAGACTTAGAGTATACCCCACAAACCACCCTCGCAAGCAAACACATAAGTGTTTTGAGTCCCCCAAATGCCTTTCCCCGTCAAAACGCTCGGCCAAATTCGCGAAGCTCCGGCCGTCGCCGGGTCGCAAGGTCTTCACCTGGACGAGCTGTGGAGAGTGAGAGGTTTTTTGTGGCGGGACAAATGGGAGGTCGGATAGATATGGTTTTAGGTCATGCGGAGGCCTCAAATTCTCTCCGATCTTCTGGAACAACGCGCGAGGGCGGATGAAGATCCATGGACCTCCGGGTGCCCGTTGAGGTCCCGGTTTCGACCGATTCTCTCCCCCAAAATGGATCCTCTCAGCGAACACAATTCGCTCCGACAGCTGAATTGGCTCGGACCGGCTGTGGCTGTGTTTCGGCAGTCGAATCTCAACACCATCCGAAGGTATTTGGAGGTCATGTGCATCCGGCATGTGGATTGATTGATATTGTACAGCTTGGAGAGCTTGATTGATTGTAGAGCTTGGTGTCTCTGATGACGGAGAGCTTGAAGTCATAAAGTGAAGTGATTGTGATCATCTCTGGTCATTTAGATTGAAACAAGATGAAACAAGCGACAGTTTATGCCTTCTTCAAACATTGCTGGGCTCCTATCTGCGGTTTGTCTGCAGGATTTCTCTGGACAGTCTCCACTACTTGGGTCACCAGTTTGCAAGCATAACATATAATTAATTAACGATAACAATAATAATAATAACAATAATAATAATATATATAGTTATAACGTGATATCATATAGTGTAAACAAATATTTAATGATCAATGATACGTAAATTATTGTTAATATA